GAAATTAGCGACGAACAAAAATTCGTTGGTAATTCGTCGTCGCAAATTTTTGCGACAAAAAATTTAAATTTTCGTTGGTAATTTGCGACGAAATTTTTTCGTCGCAAAATTCGTGGGAAAGTTCGTTTCGTTGCAAAGTTCGTTGGAAAATTCGTCGCTAATTATTCGTTGCAAAAATCGTGACAAAATTCGTCAGTAATTTTTCGTGGTAAAATTCGTGGCAAAACGAATTTCCGACAAATTAGCGACGAAAAAAAATTCGTCGCTAATTCGGCGTCGGAAATTTTTTGCGACAAAAAATTTTAATTTTTCGTTGGTAATTTGCGACGAAAACAGAGTCGTGGAAAAATTCGTGGGAAATTTCCCACGAATTTTCCCACGAAATTAAAAAAACAAGCATCATACCGGGTGTTTGAATTTCGTGGCAAAATTCGTTGGAAATTTCCCACGAATTTTGTCACGAAAATAGTACATAGTCCAATAATTGCCCGGAAACTTTAAATTCGTGGCAAAATTCGTTGGAAATTTCCAACGAATTTTGCCACGAATTTAAAAAAGACGCCAACATACCGCATATTTAAATTTCGTGGCAAAATTCGTCGGAAATTTCCGATGAATTTTGCCACGAATTAAAAAAAGCCCCCAACATACCGGGTGTTTTGAATTTCGTGGCAAAATTCGTCGGAAATTTCCCACGAATTTTGCCACGAATTTAAAAAAAAAAGACATCATACTGGGTGTTTGAATTTCGTGGCAAAATTCATGGGAAATTTCCCACGAATTTTGCCACGAAAATAGTACATAGTCCAATAATTGCTCGGAAACTTTACATTCGTGGCAAAATTCGTCGGAAATTTTCAACGAATTTTGCCATGAATAAATTTCTGTGCCAAAATTCATCGGAAATTAGCGACGAAAAATTTTTCGTCGCCAAAATCGTCGGAAATTAGCGACGAAAAATTTTTCGTCGCAAAAATCATCGGAAATTTGCAACGAAAAGTGTTTCATCGCTAATTTCGTCGGAAATTTGCGACGAAAAGTGTTTCATCGCTAATTTCCGACGATTTTAGTTTTCGTTGCAAAAGTCGTCGCAAATTTCCGACGAAAATTTTTTCGTCGCAAATTTTCGTCGCAAAATCCCAGTTTTTTTGTAGTGAGAGAGAGGAATTCTTTTAATTGAGTTTATGTATTAATAATAACATATATTTGAGCTTACCTGTGGATTCATTCATATTTCTTAGTATACAAGCCACCATCACTTATCCGAATACGACCAGGGAAGGAAAATATGGCCAATTCCCAAAGGAAAATTTCGTACTTTATCCTTGTACTTCACATAATCAAGTCCTTACTCTCTTATGTTTTTCTAGTAGTCTTTTGCTTGCACAATTGTCTAATCATGTCCCTCCGACACACCAAATTCAGCAAATCTAGTTGACATGGTCGTCGGTTCATACCGGAATATGAAATGGACAATGCCGACCTGAAAGCACAGTGGAAAATGAAAAAAAAAATATTTTATCCTTTTACATTATCCACGATAGACTCCATATGGGGATTGACATTCCCAAAATGTTGCTCACATCACACTTAGACGATGTCCAACAACCACATTAGTTAGATTTGGACGGATTTAGTATTGGAAGAACTTAATCAGATAATTTGTGCAAGTAGAAGACTTGATTAAGAAAGGCATGAAAGCATGTAGATGAACACTAATACAAATTTTCTCTTCCAAAATCCTAGTTTGAAGCTATCTCTCTTGCTGTCGTCTCTGACGTTGCAAAAGATATCGGTCCAATCTGGCTAAACAGTGTATTAATCAGACATCGAACTGCGTAAAAGAATCTAATCAACAGCCAAATTAACACAAAATCCGCCAAGTCAGCAGATGTTATCTTCGTTTCTTCATTTGCTCATTCAATTGCTCTTTTTTCTTTATATCTTGTGCTCTTTTAACCTATTGGCATCCCCTTTCGCTATGGATGCGGCACGTGATCTACAAGTATATTTATGCTGCGAATGATAACCATTCTGTTTCTCTATTTTTCTATTTTTCTATTCCTGAAAACAGGTTTAGAAAAGAAATCTGTTTGGTAACGCAATTGCATTTTTCTATTTCTGGAACAAATTTTTATTTCAGAAATAAGTTTGAAACAGAAATGAGAAATAAAAATTTTCTACTTTTCTATTTCTATAACAAAAATGAGAAATAAAAATTATTCTCATCGCTCGCCTTTGCTACTAGCCGGTCACCCAACTGTCGACCACCGCCGCCCACCTGCCGTCCGCCAACTCCCATCGTTCGCCGGCCACTGTGGGCCATCGTCCGCCTCTCGCCACCAGCCGCCACCCTCCTCTCGCCACCGCCCACCTCCTGCCGTTGCCCACCTGCCGTTCGCCGCCTCCTGCCATCTACCGGCCATCATCTCCCACCGCCGACCGTCGTGGCCGCCGCCCTCCTCTCGCCACCACCTGCCTCCCACTGCCGGCCGCCAACTGTCGCCTGCATCTCGCCGTTGCCCGATGTTGGCTGTCTCTTGCCACCATCCTCCGCATTGGCTGCGCCGCCATTCGCCGCCACCTCCTGCTAGCCGCCCGCCGCCCACTAACCGGTCGCCAAAAAGAGAAATTTTATATCATTATCAAACAAATTTTTGTTTCGGGGAACATACATTTTGTGTTGTTATCAAATACGTATTTTTGCTCAAAAACTAAATCATGAAATAAAAATATAAAAATCTATTTCTAACTAGAAATTGATTTCTGAAATAGAATAGTTGTCATTTGCGCCCTTATGCTCTTCAAGTCCAATGCGGTGGTGATATTCCACCGGTTACGAAGTCTATATTCAGTGGACGCATCGATTCAAGTTTTTTTGAACATTGACAGATCGACCGACGATGCTATCATCTCCTCTTTCCAATGACATGGACTCATGTGATCACATTCCCAGTTGACAACCTGATTGAGTTGACCACACCTCCCCCCCGCAACCCAATCAGAGTCAACGAAACTATCATCATCGCTCTTGTTACTTAATTCAATTCTATCTGTAACATCGTCACAGTGTCAGCACTGTCCTTGGATCCAGCTCCATCCGTACGGCGATGGGTCAATGTTGTTTTGTAGCCGGATTGATCCGGTAACAAGTTGCCAAAGAGTAATGTTCGATGAACCAATGGAATGTGTATGTTGGAATTTTGAACAAAGATTTTAGGAATCGATTGAAAAAATTGAAGTGTTTGGGATCGAATTGGCATTCATATAATAAATTTATAATTGATTAGACAATTTTTTCAACGTATATAGACAAGGGTAAATTGTGATAACTTGACTCTTTGATTTTCTAAAGGCTAATGGAGGACTTTTTAAGGTCTCTTAATGTTCTATCGTATTATACATGATACTTTTCCATAACAATCAATAAGAGCCTGTTTCGTTTTTTTTTTCTTTTTTTGTTATCCTTTCCTCTGTCTGGATTTTCATTGTGATGACTTAGGATATGTCCCAGATATGCAAGTCGACATTAAACATCCTTTCGTTAAGTGTCGTTCTATTGAGCTGATGTTCGGGAAACAGTAAACTCAATAATCCATCGGAGATGAAATGAAAATGAGGTACTACCGTCAAACGACATGTATTCATTAGCTAGTTTTTATGAAGAGTTGATTTTGCCCATGTCGCTTGACGATAGGATTTATTTACTCTTTATGTACATGAAGTTTCTATCCACCTATTATTTTAAGCTTTTGGATGAAATCGTGATTTGATATTTAAATATTTTAACACTCTCTTATGCGTAGGTTGAACTTTTGGCCTAAGCCATAGGTGTGGAAATATGTAATAGAGGAGATAAATAAAGTCTAGAAGATTTGAATGCATGACCTCTTGCTCTGATATTATGTTGAAATATACATGTTATCTATGTACATGCAAACACCATCCACCTATTAGCTTAAGCTTTAGGTTCTGCCCCAGTTTATTTTCCATGTGTGTTCACCCGTTCGTCAAATTCCATGTGTCAATAGGCTTAATAATATACTCTTTATATACATGTGGTCTTTCTCTACCTATCAGCTTACACTACAAAAAAACATGATTTTTGCGACGAAAAATTTGGAAAAATCCGTCGCAAATCGAATTTGCGACGGAAAATTTCAATTTTCGTCACAAATTTGCGACGGACAAAAATTCGTCGCAAAATTCGTCGCAAATTTGCGACGGACAATAATTCGTCGCAAAATTCATCGCAAATAATTCGTCGCAAATTAGCCACAAACACTATCCGTCGCAAAATTCGTCGCAAATAATTCGTCGCAAAATTCGTTGCAAATTTCGTCGCAAAATTCGTCGCCAAATTCATCGCAAATTTCGTCGCAAAATTCGTCGCGAATAATTCGTCGCGAATTTCGTCGCAAAATTCGTCGCGAATTTCGTCGCGAAATTCGTCGCAAATTTCGTCGCAAATTAGCCATGAACTTTATTCGTAGCAAATTTCGTCGCAAATGTAGTCGCAAAATTCGTCGCAAATATCGACGCAAATTTCGTCACAAATTTAGTCGCACATTTCGTCGCTAATTATCCGTCGCAAAATTCGTCGCTAATTATTCGTCGCAAAATTTGTCGCTAATTTGCAAAAAAAAAAAATTTGGTCAGTAATTTACGACGAACTTATTTGTGGCAAAATTCGTCGCTAATTTGCCATAAAAAAATTTTACTTTTGCCATTAACATTATTCATGATCGAATTTAGCGACAATTTATCCTCCAGGGGAAAGTCCCCACTAACGATGACTTCACCCAACTCTGAGGCTTCCTTCATTAGTCTTTCAGAAATCAGAGTAAATAAAAACTCTTTATAGTCATTCGCCCTCGGAGCTACTCCTAACTTCCGCTTCAACTTCAAAACTCTCTCTTTCTGCACCACATCACCCATTTCTCGAAAAGCTTCCGCAACAATTCTATACGCCATAAAATCAGGTTTGCAGCTTCTACTTCTCAGCTCGTCCAGCACCCAGAGAGAGCCTCTGATACCCTTGAAGCTTGACAAAGACCATGAACTACCAAAACGGCAATAACTGACCCGTTAATCCCTGCATTACGCCTCCTAACTTCATCTAACGCGCTCAGAACCTCGGAAATTTCCCCATTACCACAAAACTTCCACAAGAACACGCCCAATCCCAGAGTGCTCAAACGAACACCCCACTGCATCATTTCATCGAACACCTTCCTTGCATTATCGATATACCCATCAGACGCGAGGGCAGCCAGAAGCAAGTTACACACGTCGGGCCCAACGTCCCCAACTAACGAACCAATCTCGCTGAAAACCAAAAACCCGTCGTGGGTCCTCTTGTTCCTGACGAAACAGGCGATGACGTGCCCGTATGCCGAGGCGTCGAGGCTGATCCCGCGGGCCCTGACCCGCTTCAACAGGGCCTCGACGGCGTTGGACTGTCGGGAAGCGGAGAGGGACTTGAGGACGGAGCGGTACGTGAGGGGGTCGTGAGCGAAGCCGGGCTGCTGGGAGGCCCAGTCGAAGAAGCCGAGGGCGAGCGAGGGGTGGGGGATCAGGAAAGGGTCGATCACGCGGGCGACGAGCTGAGGGGTGAGCAGGTCGCGGCAGCCGAGACGGTGGAGAGCTTGCTCGAGCGAGGCCGTCCATGTGCGCACCGAGACGGTGCGACTGGAGGCTGAAATGAGAGCTCTGCTTATTCTTCGCCGCGCTCGATTTCCTCCTCCTCTTGGGCACGCCCTGTTTCTCCACGGAGCTCCCTCCTTTCGGATTCTCCTCGCTCTCCTTCCCTTTCGGGGGGGCGTCGTCGTCCCCGTCGTCATCTTCGGCCGAGGCCTCCTCGTCGGAAGCCTCGGCCTCCTTCTCCTCCGGAGCGGCGATCTCTCGGTCCACTTGATCTGCCTCCTCCACCTCTGATTTCTCGGGGAGCTCCTCCTCCTTGCCCTCGACGGGGGGAGGAGCCGCCGCCCCTTGGGGCTCCGCGGCCTCTAGGGCTCCGGAGGCCATGGGCGAGGAGGAGTCGCGGGAGGAAGCGCGATCGCGAGAGGTTTGGGGGTGTGGGGGAGAGGGAAGAAGCAGAAGCGAGAAGGAGAAGGAGAAGAGCGAGAGAGAGGGAGAACAGTGAGCGAGAGAGAGAGAAATTGGGGGTCAGGGCGGGACTTTGGGGCGCACTTTTTTTAATTAAATTTGCGACGAACTTCATATTTCGTCGCAAATTTTTGCGACGGATTTTGTTTCCGTTGTAAATTTTTGCGACGGATTTTTTTTTCGTCGCAAATTTGCGATAGATTTTGTTTCCGTCGCAAATTTTTGCGACAGATTTTTTTTTCCGTCGCAAATTTGCGACGGACTTATTTTTCCGTCATAAATTTGCGACTGATTTTGGGATAGATTCCAAAAATAAAGAGCATTTTCCAAATCTTGCGACGAATTTATTTTCCGTCGCTAATTTGCGACGGAAGTGATCTTTGCGGCACACTGGCGCCCATTTTTTCAAATCCGTCGCTAATTTGCAACGGAATTACCGACGGAAATGTTTATACCGACCAATTTTTCAAATCCGTCGCTAATTCCATCGGAACTTTGAGTAGATATGCTTCTTACAATGACACATTACTCATATTTGACTAATTAGTAAATGTCATGATCTAATTCATCTAAGGGCGACAAGTCTGGTGATTTTTTTTTTTCATTAGAGCAGCGGAGGAATGTCAAACAACTACGGGAGGTTGTTGCGAAATGGGCCGATGTGACTAGCATTACGAACACTGTGGAGAAACATGACTGATGTGGATGTCGTTGTTACAAACAGACTCGATTGACGCTTTCTCAAATAACAATAGGGCTCTGATACCAAGTCAAGAATGTGATAAAAAAAATTAAGAGCAATATATATATATATATCATTGTCAAATGAAGAGTATACGAACCTATTTATCGGTTTTATAGGATGACTATCTAAAAGGGAAAATATCAATTACAATCAATTAAACGAAATATAGGGAATCTTCTAAATATTTCTCTAATGGAATGCATGCCCTCTATTCACTCATCATTCGGATGTAACCCTTTAGAAATAATTCATCTAATTGGTTAGATCAAATTGGTTAGGTCTAAATAAGAATATCTCTTTTATATGATCTCCTATAGATATCCCCATATAGATACATTGACTTTACATTTCATACATCCACCCGATTCCGATCTATTTGAAAATTGCTATAATTTATTTACCCATATATTTACGCATACATAAGAGCTACGTGCGGAGGAAACCGCCATATTCAACTAAATAGATATCTGCGTTATCTATATCTAAGTCTTGAAAAAAAGAAGAAGATAAGATTTGCACCTATCGAATCTAAAAAAGCTTATTTGGGACGAGAACATTTTAAGAGATTATCTAATATCTTGAGTTTATAATAGATGTTCTTATCTAATTTGAATTTGTAATATCTAATCTCTCTTAGAATTGGATGTGTAGCAAATCGTCCAATCTCTTTTGAATTTGAACTTGTGACAATCATCCAATTCGTCTCTACTTTCGTCGCAAAATGGTAAATTTTGTTGCACAAATTAGCAACGAAAAATAAATCCGTCACAAAATTTGTCGCAAATTTGCGACGGAAAATTAGTCGTCACTAATTTGCGACGGAATTAGCGACGAAAATTTTCCGTCGCAAATTTGCGACGAATTTTGCGACGGATTTATTTTCCGTCGCAAATTAGTGACGGAATTTGCGACGGAATTTTTCTGTCGCTAATTTGTGACCAATTTTGCGACGGATTGATTTTCTGTCGCAAATTTGCGACGGAATTTTTCCGTCACTAATTTGTGACGAATTTTGCGACGGATTTATTTTCCGTCGCAAATTTGCGACGGAATTTGCGACGGATTTATTTTCCGTCACAAATTTGCGACGGAAAATAAATCCGTCGCAAAATCCGTCGCAAATTTGCGACGGAAAATTTTCGTCGCTAATTTGCGACGGAATTAGAAATCCGTCGCAAAGTTTGTTGCAAATTAGCGACGAAAAATTTTCGTCGCAAATTTTCGTCGCAAAATTCATATTTTTTTGTAGTGTTAAGTTTTGGGGTTGGACTTTCTAACACAAATTACTTGCCAAAATGATTTCTTAATGGGGAATTATTAAATCATTCATAAACTTATTGTAAGGACGTCAATTCAGTTCTAAACTTTTCAATTTTGATAATTTAGTCGTAAACCTTTATGCAAAGTTACAACGTAATCCTTCAAGCTAATTTTTTGTCAAAAATCGCTAACGTGGTGGTGTGCCACACAAAATGGCCAGCTATGACTAGTTGCCATGTAAGCAATTTCAGGAAAAATAACCGAAATGAATATATCAAAATTTCTCACAAAAGTTTAGAACTAAATTGATAAAATTGAAAAGTTTAAAGTTTAATTGACATTCATATGATTCTAGGATCGGTTAATTTTCCCATTTCTCAATTCTATCGTGGACCCATGCAAAGTGGAGGGTTATTCAACTAGTAATCCATGTATTTATTGGAGATAGAGCATTAATCACAAGTAGTGGCTCATTAATTGCAAGTAATTTTAATGGCAAAACTAAATTTATTCATCGACATAATAGATAAAGGCATTCACAAAATTCTATACTTAAAGGAAAATTATATTAAATTAAGTGAGTAGCGCGTTAGGGCGCGTTTGGCAACCGGCCAAATAGTAACTATTTCTATTCTTTTATTCCTAGAATTAGTTTTGGAACAGAAATCCGTTTGGTAAATATTTTGTTCCCAGGCACAAATTTGCAAAAATTTGTTCCAAGAATAAGTTTTGGAACAAAATCAATTAGTAAAAAAAAGTTGCTTCTTGATTCTGGGAACAAGAATCAGAAATGGAAAATAATTTTTTTTTCTTAAGTCAGCGGTGCAGAATCAAGACAGCCTATGATTTCCCAGGAACATGTAATTTCAAGGCAGCGGGTGATTTCTTTAAACAGATGCATTTTCAATATCACATGCTATTCATAACAAAGCGCACCTTTATGCATTTTTTGCGTGCATAATCATGAGATGCTCGATTCCGATGTAATTTTTAGTTCTTAATGCAAGGACCTTCGATCATCTAATCTCATATTTTTAATCAACATTCCAAAATCCAACCAGTGACATTCAACGTATGGATGTCAAATATTTTGAAAGGCGGAGTCAGTTTTATCAACAAATCATTTTTCAATAACTTCTATAATTTTCAAAAATAATTACTGAAAGTAGTCACATGCATAGGGCCTTGGTTAGAGGTGACGAAATGGGTCTAGAAACCATATTTGATAATGCAGGTTGTAAATGGGTTGTCTTACGTTTTAAAAATATACTTAAGTGGGTTATAAATGAGTTGTGTAACAACTTAATGGATTTTACATGGATTGATAATCAACCCATTTCTAACCCATATTAGGTGGAGTTGGAGATGTCCGGACAATTTTTATAATTTTTATTTTTTACAAAAATTTCTGAATTTTTTAAATATTTTTTATTTTATCTTATTTTATTTTTTATTTTTCTTTCTTTCTTTTCCTTTTTTTTTTTATGAAGTCCGGCGAGGGTCGACGGTGATCCTTGCTGGTCATAGGTGAGGGCCAGTCAACCCTCACCGACGCAGTTGAGGGTCACAGCCCTCGCCATACATAGAAGGAAAATAAAGGAAAATAAAGAAAGAAAAAGAGAAAAGAAAATATAAATATGTAAAAATATAAAAAATCAATTTTTTAAAATTATAAAAATTGTCCACTAGATTTGTATTGTGTGGAATTTTTTAACGACATAATTTTTTTTAAAAAGTCGTAAGAAACAAGTTTTCTTAATTTGGTAAAATATGAAATTGTTTGAGCAATGTGGGCTGGGTCAGATATGGGTCGAGAATTTGCATTACAAATAAGTGGGATATATACCGGTTAATAAGTCAATTTGGATCAAACCACTTATGACCCGATCCGACCCCACCCATTCATTTAGCAAGTCTAGCCTCAGTTAAAGGATAGACAGACCTCTGGTGCCTCCACTCCTCCTATTCATCGACTTGGTCCCCTCAGTACATATACCTGGAGTTGATTTTATGGGACAAGTGCACTACAAGTCCTAAAACTTGTCACAAAAGTGCATTTGAGTCCTAAAACTTGCAAAAAGTGTAATCGAGTCCTAAAACTTGTCAAATTGGTTCAATCGAGTCCTAAACTTAACACTGTCTAATTTACTAACGGAAAATGCTGACGTGGCGCTGACATGTCTTATTTTATTAATTTTCTTGAGACACGTGGCGTCCAACAAGCGCCACGTCAGAAAAATTGAAAAAAATGTAAATTAAATTAGAAAAAGCTATAAAAAAACAAAAACAAAAACAAAAAAAGGACAAAAAACCAAGGACCAGCAACTGTGGCGGTGGCCAAGCCCTCGTCGATGGCCACCGCCACAGCCGCCGGGCCTTCTCGGTGGCTATGGCGGCGGCCACCGGCGAGGGTTTGGCCACCGCCACAGCCGCTAGTTGGTTTTTTTTTGTTATAGCTTTTTTCTAATTTAATTTTTATTTTATTTTTGCTGACGTGGCGCTTGTTAGATGCCACATCATTACTAAGTGTCTTAAGAAAGTAATAAAATATTACACGTCAGCGCCACGTCAATATTTTCCGTTAGTAAATTTAACGGTGTTAAGTTTAGGACTCGATTGAACTAATTTGACAAGTTTTAGGACTCGATTACACTTTTTGCAAGTTTTAGGACTCAAATGCACTTTTGTGACAAGTTTTAGGACTTGTTGTGCACTTGTCCCTTGATTTATTTAACGGGACTTTCTACAGATGCAAACACTTCAATATATTCTCCTCAACTTCCCGTAACTTCAAGTTTTAATGAAGCAGTATAACAATCACACTTTAATAATCTAAATCATATCCATATTGATTTCAACAACAGAAGGGCTTATTTTGTTACAAAATGTGGCTGTTTCATAATTAATTTCAATAGAACAATGGTCTATTTTCTATCAAGTTTTATTTTTACATCTAGTAGCATACGACAGGGTTTCATAATTTCAAAAATTATTTCAACATTGTTACGACCTATACATGCAAATTTTCTAATTTTTTTCTTAAAGATTAGTCCCTTGCCTGAAGTAGCTTTAACACCTGCAAGAAAATCACCCCAAGAACAAGAAAACATCTAATGAGGGAGATTTTCTGTTCAAGAGAGCCAAAATCACAAGAGAGAAAGCTTAGAGCAAACATTGCCTAAATGAGAAATTTGGGAGTTTATCTATAAGCAAATCTTACCTTAAAAGGGGAACGATACATAGCATAAGGGAAATGGTGCGAAATTGACTCGAAAGTGTTTAAAGTGATGCACAACACAAGGGTTAGAGAATATCAGATCTAGGCTTACAAAGCTCAATCTCGCGCTATCGGGACCATTTCACGGTGTCATCGCAGGCCTAGCACAGCGTCTAGGTCCTCATTGGGCTCGCATGTCCCTGACCAAATTGGGCCCAATCGAGCAGTCTGTTGCTTTCACTTAATTTAATAACAAAATGTTTTTCTCTTAATAAAAAGGGAAAGTTCTTTGCTAAATTGGCTTTCTTACAAGGCGATCCGCATGTCAGAACTAACATATGTTGGCCGGCGGTGACGACAGGCTTGGCCAAATTTTGACGGAAAAATTGCTCACTCATTCCTGAATCTATTGTACATAAATCAATCGATTTCTAAACCTTTTAACAAAATCAATTTGGTCCCAAATATTTGAGGGAAAGTGTAATCAAATTCTCTCAGCCAAATCCCGCCTAACTAATTTGATGTGACAATTCAGTCACCGCCGACTATCCTATAACTTCGGTTGGAATACTTGAATAATAGAGAATTACCGTAAAAGTCCTAAAAATATTACACTTGTACCAATTTAGTCATACACCTTTTTTTTTTGTGAATTGAGTCGTAAATCTTTTGCATTTGTATCAATTTAGTTCATCCGGCCAATTTTAGTTGGAAATCACTAACATGGATGCCGGCCGTCCTACGTGATGCAGCCGACGCTAACGTGGACGATTTTAAAATATTTTAATAATTTTTTGATTGATTGATTTATTTATTCTTTTATTTTTCCTTTTTTTCTTTTCTATCTCTTTCTTTGTTTTCTTCCCTTCTTCCATTAACCGTCGCCGGACCTTGACAACTAGCCAGAGGCGAGGGCCGGCAAAGGTGAGCCTCGCTAGTGCCCTCGTTGTCACCGAACGAGGCTCCCCCTTGCTAGTAGCCAGCGACCTCGCCGGCCCTCGCCTAAGCAGATCGCCGAGGTTCAATGACCAGGAAGAGGAAGAAGGGAAGGAAAAAAAAAAAGAAAGAGAGAAAAAAAAAGGAAAAATAAAAAATAAATTGAAAATTTTAATAAAATATTTATTTAAAAATGTCCACGTCACCGCTAACCGTCCCACGTAGGATGGCTAGCGTCTATGTCAGCGATTTCCAGCCAAAATATGCAGGATGGACGGCATGACATAAATGCAAAAGGTTTAGGACTCAATAGGCAAAAAGAAAAGATTTATGACTAAATTGGCACAATTGCAATAGATTTAAGACTTTTTTTGTAATTTTCCCCTTAAATAGAGATTCATTTCCCACTCCAGATAGTTGCCTACTGTAGATATAAAGTGTAAATATGAAATTTTTGTATCTGTAGATCCACTATGTTTATTTCCTTTAATATTTATTTACTTCCTTCTTGTATCCCCACACTTGTACTATATTATGCAGACAATTTAATGAGAAAAGTAGGGGATTTCCCCAATTTGCGCAATGGCATAAGTTAACACTGTACAAATCACATGATCAACGACCATAACTTTGGAGGGACCTGGTTTTAGGTCTCGTCCTTTCGTGATTCGGGGTGCTAATGAAGAAGAACTTGACTTAGTTTAAAAAAAAACCCCATGCATGAGAATCTTCTGCATGTTTGTCAGTGTGCATATAATTGAAAGCAAATTAATTTTTGCTATTCCTTGCTTTAATTGCATGTATGCAGGCTTACATGCTTCGTGGTCCTACCAAGCCCACAAGATGAGAAGAAAGAAAGGAAGCAGATGAACTCGTTCCAGAGAGGCCGGCTCGTCGTCATGTTCATGTGCGAGCCTCGTTATCTTTAACGTTGTTTATTTGCATGAACACGACATGCCTACATAGCCATATAAACAAATGCTTTCCCTTCTTGCCACATTCCCACCTCAATCCGAAGAGCACCAGCATGTTCATCCACTGTGCAGTGTGTGACCTGCCAAGAAAATCTTTCTCTAATCCCCCGCCACCACGTTCCGCTGAATCATTCCCCAGTTTCTTTAAAGCCTTCAGGGTTTTTTTCTCCAGATCTTGGGTATAAATAGGTGAGCTTAGGGTTCATGGCCAAACCCATCGGCATGTGAAGCAACAACGCGAAACAGGCATCATCATCATCATCATCTTCTTCTTCAGAAGACAATGGAGGCTCCTAGGTTTCTTCTGGTGTCGTCCCTGAGCTTTGCTCTTCTGTTGAGCGTGGTTTCGGCTCAGCTCAGCACGGGTTTCTACCAGAACACGTGCCCAAACGTCGAGTCCCTGGTCCGGTCGGCCGTGACCAAGAAGTTCCAGCAGACCTTCGTCACCGCCCCCGCGACACTCCGCCTATACTTCCACGACTGCTTCGTCAGGGTCAGCTTTCGATAAACAGAATTCTATACATCGGGCCATAAATTCGTTAGCTTCTATACTTAATGTTGTGATTGTTGATTTTCTTTGTCTTTTGGGGATTTGATTAGGGATGTGATGCTTCGGTCCTCATAGCGTCGCCCACCAACACTGCCGAGAAAGACCATCCCGATGATCTGTCGCTCGCCGGCGACGGGTTCGACACGGTGATCAAAGCCAAGGCAGCAGTGGATAGTGTTCCTCAGTGCAAGAACAAAGTCTCTTGTGCCGACATCTTGGCTCTTGCCACTAGAGATATCGTTTCGTTGGTATGATAAGGACCCTCCACCAAATTCTTTTGGAAAAATACCATCAAAAATCCCAAACTACGCCACTTGTGACAAATTTACCATGAACTTATTTTTGTGATACGAAAAACCCCAAACTATGCCACTTGTGATAAATTTACCCTGAACTTTTTTTGTGATACAAAAAACCCCAAACTATGCCACTTGTGACATATTTACCCCACAATACTTTGGCCCATGGACATTTTCGCCTTTTTCGTTTTTCTTTTTTTTTCTTTTTTTTTCTTTTCTTCTCTCCTCCCTCTGCCGGCCATGGTGGAGGGAAGCCGGTGAGGGCTGCCTTCGCCGGATCCGGCAAGGGTCACCCAACCCCGGCGAGGGTCGCCATCGTCGGATCCAGCAAAGGCAGCCCTCGCCGGCTTCCCTCCGCCATGGCCGGGGGAGGGAAGAGAGAAGAAAAGAAAAAAAAAACAGAAAAAGGAAAAAGACAAAAATGCCCATGGGCCAAAGTATTGTAGGGTAAATATGTCACAAGTGGCATAGTTTGAAATTTTTTGTGTCACAAAAAAAAATTCATGGTAAATTTATCATAAGTGGTATAGTTTGTGATTTTTGTAGGTATTTTCCCAATCCTTTTTCCAAACTCTGTTCATTTCGCAAAATCGATCATCGATCTAACTTTTCCGATCCAATCAAAAGCAGACTATTCATATTAAACTCGAGAATTTATTTTAAAAAAAATTACTTTAGAGGCACATAGTTTTCGAACTCTTATAGAGTGCTCGACTACGTACTAAGAATATGCCAATATGCTACTCTATTCCACAAGATGACGAAATTATAATATGCTTTTTGTTTTGTACAAAAATACTAGTCTAATCATTTACATTTTTTTTAATATAAATTTCTTTTCTTGTTACGCTAAGAAAACCATCGGGTCACTTTCAAAATGGTTGTCCTTTTCTCCCTCCTCCACATAAATATTATGTATGGAAGTGTGATCGACCACAAGCACCACCCAACGCCACTTTTTCCCTGTTAAATTACTAACAATTGCAATTGATTTTCTTCATTTTTATTCTTATTTTTTTTCTAAGCAATCTTGATAATGTCGCACGATCATGTTATAAATCACTAGCTATTCTTAGCAAAATTTTGAAACTTTTGTGTAGGCAGGGGGGCCATTCTATAGTGTTGAATTGGGGAGACGTGATGGGAGAATATCAACTGAAGCCAGTGTTCAACGCAAGCTTCCTCAGCCTGGTTTCAATTTGGACCAGCTCAATACTATGTTCGCTTCTAACGGTCTCTCCCAAACCGATATGATCGCCTTATCAGGTAATTAATTTCACCTTACAGAATTAATGCAGCATAAGCTCTAATCTTTTCTTTTTAATGTACTTTGCAAAATCTACATGAAAGAGAAAATTGGTTTTTGCATACATTGGGTAAGCCTTCAATTAAAGTTGCATGACAACTTTCACTTTATGCAACACATCCTTGTCGATCATCTAATTATAATCATAGGAAGTGGAAGAATAGTGTTCATAGATACCCAATGGCCTCTTATTGGAGCAATGTTATGCTAGACCACTAGGTAAGCATTGTAGGCCACTAAATTAGCTATAGTATCATGTAAATAACATATCATAGCTCAGATGTTTGTAGTCTAATGTTTATCATGGTCCTAAAATAATCACACTATCTTTCATGATGGAATGTCTTATGTAACTATTAAACCGGTTGTCATTGACAAGTGCACAAAATTATTCAATTGCAAACGCTAAAGCTGATTTTTCCTGGGTAACGTCACATTAGCAGTGTAACCGTTGCGTATGTAGGTGCGCACACAATCGGTTTCTCTCACTGCGGCAAATTCTCCAAGCGGATCTACAGCTTCAGCCCAACAAGCCGGATCGACCCGACCCTGAACTTCAGTTACGCACTGCAGCTGAGGCAGATGTGCCCGATCAACGTGGACCCCCGAATCGCCATCAACATGGACCCCACAACGCCTCAGACGTTCGACAACGCCTACTTCAAGAACCTCCAACAAGGAAAGGGCCTCTTCGTCTCCGACCAGGCGCTGTTCAGCGATCCGAGATCGAGGGCCACGGTCAACCTGTTCGCGTCGAACAACGCGGCGTTCCAACAGGCCTTCATCACCGCGATCACGAAGATGGGTCGGGTCGGGGTCAAGACCGGGAACCAGGGCGAGATTAGGATTGATTGCACTCGCCCCAACTAGGACTATCTCTTTGGTCTATGATTTATTTGTTGTTTCCATTTTATGAGTTTGAGTTCTATTCTAGTAGTCAGTATTTCGTGAGAGAGCAGAATAACAGGTTGTTGGCGAAAATAGTGAGATTTGATCATGGCGATGACTTTGTATGATGGATCAAATCCCCTGACGAATAAGGAATTCCAAGAAATTCATACTTATGAATGCATTATTTGTTGGTGGTAGCATGTGCCAGCAGGGCTTATTTGATTATAATAAGAATAATATCAACAGCAAAAGTCAAACTTGAGCAAAATTTCCACATGCAGACTTTAAATCAATGCAGATAGATACTCCTAATTTAAATTGCTCATTCATCCTGGCCAATTGAATTTGGGATTGCCCTGGATAAGTTGAATCCTCCTTTTCAAAGAAAGAAGCGCCCTCTCAATAGTGACACCTCCATATAATGAGAAAAATATTTTATGTATCAATTGCATGGTCGATGTGGAAAAGCAAACGGACGACTTTTCAAGAAAGCGATTGACGCGTTACGAAAGAAACTAACTTCGTATTGGAATTGTCGTTGGTTTGCAACAACACGTGTCGATGATACATGGTGTGATGGATGTATGAAGTGAGCAACTTCTATTTGAGAGAAGCAGATCTAGCGAAATCCTTGGATAAGGGATAATTGTTCAAAAAGTCCTAAACCTATTGTATGGCGGTCATTTAAATCTTAAACCTTTCAATTGTATCAATTTAGTCCCAAACCTATTGTACGGCAGCCAATGTAGTTATAAACCTTTAAACTGTGACAATTTAGTCTTAAACTTTTAACGATTTGCCAATGTATTCTTTCCGGGTAATTTTGACCGAAAATTGCCAAAGGACTATATTGACAAATTGTTAAAAGATATAGGAATAAATTAACAAATCGTCAAAAAGTTTAAGACTGAATTAGCACAATTGAAAGGTTTAGGACTGAATTGGCCGCCGTGCAGTAGGTTTATGATCGAATTGACACATCTGAAAGGTTTATGACCAAATTGGCTGTCGTACAATAGGTATAGGACTTTTTGGACAATTTTCCCCGAAATCCTTCGGCTAGGAATATAACCATGGATAGTGTATGCATGATTGTAACTCATTACTAGTAAAATGCACAGTAGAATCATCTATGTATGATTCTTTATGTCTAGGGATAAGTGCATTGGAAGTCATAAAACTTATCACAAAATTGTAATTGAGTCATAAAACTTTCAAAAAGTACAATTAAGTCCTAAAACTTTGTCTTAAAAGTGCGATTGAATTCTCAAACTTTCAAAAAGTGCAATCAAGTCATAAAACTTATCAAATTTGTTCAATCAAGTCCTTCCATAGATTGCATTTTTTGAAAGTCTTAGGATTTGACTTCACTCTTGTGATAAGTTTCAGGACTTGATTACATCTTTTGAAAGCTTTAGGACTCAATTTCACTTTCGGGACAAGTTTCAGGACTTGATTGAACTTTTTGAAAGTTTCAAGACTCAATTGCACTTTCATGATAAGTTATAGGACTTCTAATGCACTTATCCCTTAAGTCTAATTCACGGAATAGATGTTGTTGCTTCTGCCTCCCTAGTCAAGACAATATTTTGATCACGTCCGATCTTGATTTGTCGGACAAAGTGGGTTCGTCTATGTACAAAGGTCGAGAAGATCAATTATATTATAATTCCGGATATGGCGAGTAAGTAGACAAAAACTGTGAAAGAAACGTGGGTTCACGGGCTTGTTATACTTCCTCAAGGCTGCGAAGTTTCCTCCTAGCGTGTAAAATATAAATACAAGGCACAGCAGCCAAAGTAAATCGTTTCCGCCCTTAGAAAAATAGAACCGGTGAGCTGTTTTGAAAGGAGTTCATGGAAAGGACAAAGGAGACGTCTCGAATCAATGAAGCATCCCGATTGAAAGGAACTTGATTGATAGCCGTGTCACATGGCGATCCACAATAATTAAAGTGTGGATTGATGTTAGGTTGTGCTGCATGTTTGGAATAATACCTCGAATAAGGATCCTGTAAAATTGAAGGAAAGCTCTCACGAAAAAATATTCCGAAATGACTAGATTACCCTTATTTTCCTTGTGAAATTCACTGAAAATTACCCAGATCTGAACCTAGATATAAAAATAGATATATGTTCCCGCGTCAGCCAGTGCCTACTATGGCACTACAACCAAGTTATCATTAGGTCTCCACCGACTATGCCGCCCGTCGCTAGCTATCGCAATTGAGTCATCGACTTTCCAATTGCCCCCTCCCGTCGTGCTCTCTATCAGCCAAGATGGAGGGGCTCGCAGTGGTAGCAACCTCAAAAACCACCATGTGCGATGACCCAGCCTCAGGTGACCCTAGACCTGAGGTGCGCACAGGGAAGAGAGAGAGAGAGAAAGAGAGAGAGGCTTGGTCATGCGGGTGGTGAGGGGGAGGGGCTGCGTTGATGGGGTAGGCACTGGCGTCGAAGGCACGAAACAGTGTCAATTAGAGAAGACTAGGGCGCCTCGCTTGAGTCGTTCTTCTGTTATTGGTTGTGGCTCTATTTCTAAGTACATGGAAGTGGGATTGGCAATTCGTGTTGACTTGTGATAATCAAGTTTATTGTTTGTGTGAGTATAAAACATCATAGTTTTGATTTTATATGCCAGTCTTGAATTACGATGAAAGCATATTAATGTGTATCATAATATATTATATATATTCTAATTTTCTTTCTGCAATTCGCGTTGTGCTTCGTGTGGAATGTGGGTTGTGCAAATGGGCCATGTCCATCACTGGTCCAAAACTGAGATTGCTATAAGAACCAGCAAAGATTATGCAAATTTCCTAACAGGACCACAATTAACACTCTCTCTCAAGAGTCCACGAGGTGTAAGATCGACTAATTAACAATGCAGCAAAATCATCCATCGATCCCACAGACCATAGCATTGGGTCATATCACTCGCCAGCACTATCCTCATGTCAGCCTCCTAGGGATGTTGAGATATATCAGTAGCCATCAACATGAGATTTGAAGCATTGATGATTCAGAGTGATGATAAAGGACCCCATCAATGTTCTCTCTCTCTCTATCTATAGCATTACTTGAGAATGTACAAAAACAAAGCAACCAAGATTTCCCTTCAGCACAAAGGTTATAACATGTTCAACTCTCGAATTGAAGGGGATATTGCACCGACATTCAAATTCCGAAAGCCCATCATATTTTTTTGTATCGCAATCGTACAAGTCCTCAAGTACCTCAAATGAGTTAGCTGTTGGAATATTCTGCAGTGGGTGTGGGATTCTTGTGATTACGTACATTCAAAGGAAATCTCTAGCATCAGTCGCCACTCCCCACCCTTTTCCCTGATAAAAAAAAAAGGAAAAAAACCAAGTTGGGTGGTTTGAAATGGACTTTAAAGGCCCAAGAGGCCCACTTTGGAAATGCTCCGACGTGGCTTCATTCCTGTCCTCTCTCATTCGTGGGTGCTGTTGGCATTCTCATTCTATCCACAAGATCATGGCGCAAAAATCAGTTGGCAGTTTCAATTTCTGCTTCATCCTCACCTTTATCACCATCTTCAACCAGAAAAAAAGGCAGCAACGATAGAAGTGACTGAGCGGACACCGGAAACTGAGAAAAGAAACTGACGAATTGCGTTGAGTCGGCCATTGCTGGTGCTTTCTTGGCCTGTTTCCATCAGTTTCACCTTCTTCACTCTGATGGGTATCATGTTTAAGCAATAAAATCGTCCGAGGAAGAAGAGAAAATCGAGAAAATGCGCATACTTGAAGCGCCTCTTTCTTGTTCTAAAATGGCCTCACCCTGCAGTTACTCCCCAGCCCTCTACAAGGTCCTCTGTTCTTTTTATTCCTTTGGATCCCATGTTGGTCTTTTCATGCTGTCTTTGTGATGATAATGCGCTTGATGAATATAGGTTCTCTTCTTTAATTTTCTTTTGTCTTTCTGCTTCCAGAATTTTAGTGCAGACTGTGGAGGTTTCTCTTCAAGAAAATGCTCCTTTCTTAAAGGTCATCTGGACACCACAAGGTGGGTTCGATGCAAGTCGAAACATTTCCGGGGTAAAACAGAAGGTAATAAAACAAAAAGAAGATATTTGATTTGTGCCTTGGATTGTTCTTTTCGAATTGATCAGAAGTGAAATAGATCCTGCACATGTTAAGTGCGTTTTCACAGATCTTGCTCGTCTGTATCAACATCATTGCATCATTGGCATGTCCTGTTAGGTTGCTTCGAGTGTAAGGCAGGAAGAGGTATTAGTACATGTATGAACTGGGTTCGAAGCGCAAGATTTTCAGACTGCTTGATTTCAATTTTGTAGAAAGATTTTGGCGGACGTTAATGCACTCGAGCAGTAGCAAGTACCTTTATTATTTGGTATCTGAGGCAACTCCAAATGGTTAAGAACATCCAGTCCAATCTAATCGGATATGTCATTTGCATTTTGGCAAGCGTGTGTCAGTACAACGATATTTGCTTTCTGATTTTGGCTGGTACACCGATCTCCTGATTCTGGTCGCAAACTCTAATGTTGTAGGACATGTCGTTTTGCCTAGGTGCGTTCTCCCGTTGACCGAGGAAAATGTGGAGAAGGTTTTGGATGAGGTGAGGCCTGGTTTGATGGCCGACGGAGGCAATGTAGCCTTGCACGAGATAGATGGCCTTGTTGTGGTGCTGAAACTCCAAGGAGCATGTGGGTCGTGCCCGAGCTCGACAAGGACTCTGAAGATGGGCATTGAAACTCGCTTGCGGGACAAGATACCGGAAATTATGGACGTCGAGCAGATCATGGACACTGAAACAGGTCTCGAGTTGAATGAAGAAAATATCGAAAAGGTAAAATGAAGAAACATACCCTGCATTATTTTTCTTCTGTATGTTCTTTAAGTCGTTATTGCAACATGACGCCCGAGTAAAAGGTCAATCGCAATTGAAGTTCGTTATCAACAGTACTAATTGCCTGGTCCTTCTTTACACTTTTGTGCCTTGTGCCAACCATAAGATCCATCTCATACTTGAGCAAATTATTCGGTTTTTGGAATCTCGGGTATTGGTTTTTTTTTAACTTTTCCCCCAAAATATATTGTGGCATAGTTTCTTATCTTGAGAATCGGTTAGTAAGAGTTTGAGTGACCTATGTTCAGCTGCTGGCGGAGATAAGACCATACCTTTCGGGAACCGGTGGCGGTGTACTTGAGCTTGTTCAGATTGATGGATATGTCGTCACAGTTCGGCTGAGTGGACCTGCAGCAGGGGTTATGACTGTCCGCATCGCTTTGACGCAAAAGTTGAGGGAAAAGATTCCGGCTATTGCAGCTGTCCAGCTTGTAGAATGATAGGATGCAACTGGAATATGTTTGCTATGTTGAGCAGAAGTTGGAGAGCCAACAAAGTATATGCAAAGTGCTTTTGTAGGATCTTATTTTTTTCAGTGTAATCATATACTGGGGAAGCATTAAGAAATAGACAGGGAAAGGTGAGGGAATAGTCTTTTCTGTGTTTCTATTGATACCAGTGATAGGGTTGTTTTATGGTTACAGCGTGAACTCTGCAGATTTTCTATTGAAATCTGCAATAATCATGACATCGAGCTCGTGTTTGAGCAAGAATGCCATGATCATTGCATGAGTTCAATTGGAAGGGCATAGATGTTCCTTCCTACTTAAACCTGTAAGCAGCAAGTTAAAAGCGAGAGTATGAAAGTACTGGCCAGATCGTGATCTTAAACGCGCTAGCGAAGTGCTCCTTCTCCTTTATCGTTTCCCTTGTGTATTTGGACTGCTGGTGTATAAAACCGAGAAAGATTGGAAACAAGAAACTAACACAAATAAACCCAGAAACAAAGGAGGATTATCCGAGCCACCGAAACTCTTCACTTACCGCAGAAAAAAAATTTCTGTGTTGCATATTATTAGTTAGAGTATTCCTGTTGTGCAGTTTCTACTTGCTCAGCAGAGAAAAGGCTGTTTTCATCTGTTTTGAAGGTAGAGATATCGCTCCAAATACGATTTTCGTAGCGTGCTGGCGTATTCATGCGAAACTTGCAGAAACTCTTGCCAGGAAATCTTCAACGATAAGATGGTTTCGATAAGTTTTTTAACTGCTTCTTCAATGGCTCTGTCCTGTTGATGTCCCACAGAGTCACTACTTGAGCATGAGAGCAAAGAGCATCATCTGAGAAGATGCTTTATGAGAAAACGCGTTCGCCAAATTCAATTGATCTAGGGAAACTTAGAGAACTAATTCTGACAAAATATGAAGTGGAACATTATTTATCCTCACTTCAAATCACGTACGGATCAGACAGCAAAAGTTGCTTTTCTATAACAAGCTCAAACTATAAGAGTAACTTTCGATATAACAATTTACATCATAAGATCTTTTTGCACCAAATGATTCTCAGAACCATATTCCGGGTTGCTTCTTGTGGCTTGTTTTAGAATACACAATCAGGCCAACCATACACGTCCTGCAGTTTCTCCATGAAGATCATATATAGATAACTTTTTGCCAATACAAAATTTTCAGAGTAACTAGTAATCATCTTCATCATCCCGAGGTCCCGTGAATCTCCTCACGACAGCAGCAACAGCACCGAGAATCAGAAAGAAAGCAAGGGCGTCAAACCCGCCTCCAACACCGACGGCAACACTAGGACCCGGAGCAAAGAATGAAAACGGCGACCAACCCCAGCCTCCATAGAATGGCACACCATAACCGTACCCATATCCACCAATTAAGGGTGGGGCAACAGGTGGATTAATGTAAATATTTGTCCTGCAAAAGGAACAGATAATATTACTTCTACGTAAAGTAATAGCATGCTTTGTGTCAATATCTTGAGAACACAGATAGGGAGGGAGGGAGGGAGGTAGAGAGAGAGCGAGCCCCCAGATTTATGGTTATGACCTAGGTGAATGGAGTTTCAAAGGCCAGTTTGGGATTTCATGTACCATGCTAGGCAAAGCCTGAAGATCCCTTCCATGCTAGGAAACATAACTTCACTTAAAGAGTTTGTGCTGCTTTCTACGGTACACGTGATGATACATTCAGATTCAGGGTTTCTTAAGTAGGACTTGGGATGAAAATTTTGAGCAGCCCTCTAGGGCGGATAATTCTGCGTAATTAAGTCCATGATGGTGTGCTAACAGCTTTCGAAGTCACATGGACTACCCTCTTCTTGTTGGTTCATCTACTATCAATATTTCATTCACTTCAAGGTGGTGGTACCTCTCCTTACGGCCTCATGGATGAACTTTTTCAGTTTTTACCAACCAAGAAGAAAATCGCATGCAACTTTAGGTGGGCACTGTTCCATATAACATTGTCATTGCCCTAGTTCCTTTTGTATATGTTCGAGCCTATTTTGGCTCATCTGTCAAAACACTACATAAAGATAAACATGAACTATAGAAGGGATATGATCCAGCTATGGGTAAGAAAAAGTAACGCGATCCTTCATTAGCACGGTTCAAACGATGCGCCTTCCTCAGAGCTCTCATCCTGTGCCTGTACCCTACTAACTCAACAGCACCATCCCATTTTGCACAAATGGAACTCAAATCTTCACTTACAAAACTAAGCTAAGGACAAAAACCCACAACCGGTTGGCTCAGGATTCCTCAGGTTGGAAGAAAAATGGACTGACCGGAACCGAACAGTCGAAACTCAGGTCGACTCAACCAGCACACCAGGAAAGGGATTATTCTTTTTTGACAGCCTAACTTCCACTGACCCCATCATTTCATCCATTAAAGAGAAAAGTTTTAAGTTAAACTACAGGACCTAAACCAGGGGCACGAGGAGCCGGACACCAAGTTCACTTTCAAATGGTGATTACCATCATTCATCAGGCGCAAATTCAAACAAACCATAACAGCAGCAGCAGCAGCAGCACACAAGGACAGGAAAAATCAGCGTATCGTTGATGACTACCTCGAATTATTGCCTCGTGGAGCAGATGGCCTCGGCGCCGACGACCTGAACGCCTGACCACCGATTCTACCCCCGGTCTTGGCGGCCGAAGCATCTTGCACTGACCCAAGCGTCAAAACCCCCGCCGCGAGCGTCACTATAGCCAGTTTCGCCAGCTGATTGTCGTTCCTCCTTCCAAAAACCAAGAAACACCCATGAATTCAGTACACACATATGTCAAGAATTCAGCCGAAAGACAAAAGAATTCGCCAAGGACAGTGGAAATTCACCTCGAAGAATCATTGGAGCCATCGTGATCATATGATGATAATGATGATGATGGGTGTCCGCGTCTGCAGGAGACTGTGCTGACAGAGCCCAGGAACTTCTTCTGGGGCTTGTGGGTGGACCGAGCGAGGAGGGCGTTGGCGAGGAAAGCTTGGTGAGACGAGGCTACTGACATTCTTTCCTTCTGCCGAAATCAGCTGATTCGCCAAAGCTGCTGCTCCGGAGTTCGAACTGGAACGAGTTCTTCGATTTGCTCATTGTTTTTTCCATCTTATTTCTTCTGATCCTGAGACGGCCACGTGGCGTCGCGTTAGTGGTCGTGTCGGAGTTTCTCCATGATATTTCACCCCCTCCCCCTCCCCCTCCCCCTCCCCCCCCGGGCCTTGGCTTAGATCCTCCTCACTTCCTTTTCCCTGTCCAAAAAATTGGAGGTTGTGAGCAAAACACCTCCGTTGGCTCGAGCCCGTTGGCCCTAATGAATTGGCCGAGGCCAAAATTTTCGCACCTACGAGTAGACATGGCCACGGGCCAGTTTCGGCCCGAAACCGGCACAGGTCAAATTCGAGACCAGTCCGTTGATCGGGCCCGCGGTCCAGTTCCAACAATTCATTATTTTGATTACATTTTATATTGAATATTTATCTATTTATTTATTTTTTGATAATCGAGGTGTCCGCGCGGCCGGCGAGCTAGGGCTCAAACCAGCGGTGATGCCCGACTAGTCCTCGAGGGGGGCTAGAGCAGCATCCCACCGCCACGACCCCCCACTTAAATCACCGATGGGCGAGTTTGAACTCAGGACCTCTCGTGAAAGGAATTGAGCGCAAACCAACGCGGCCACCGATGGGTGGGTTTTATATTGAATAATTCATTATTTCATAATTTGATAATTCATTATTTTTTTATTTCATAATTTATTTTTTTAATTTTTACCGGCAGGTTCCGAACCGGGCCGGAACCGGAACCGGGCCGGAACCGCCGGTTCCGGTTCATACATGGCCACGAACCGGAATCGCCGGTTCCGAACCGTAGCCATGTCTACCTACGAGGGATGATCGAGTCCCGCTCGACCATTGAGAAAAAGGAAAAAAAAATAAGATGTTTTCTAGATCGGCTGTCTCCCATTTTCCATTTTCACCGTTTCCCAGCCCTCCCTCACATGCACCACTTCCTAACGCCCCTTGGCCTCGTTCATCAATTTCGCGTGTTTTTTTCCTTTACGTTGATACCTCAAAACTTGCCTCCATTTTAAAACATAAATTTAAGCTTGAGATGGAACAAAGAGTCGACAAAGATTTGAGCGATGATATTTTAATGGGCATGAAAATGCATTTTAAACCTAAAAATGGGCTTTGCTCATTACGATGGGTATTTTGATACCCACGGTACGCGATGGTGGAATTTTTTACCCTTCGTAACTAGTCACCCATTTTTTGCAGAGTTGGGAAGCTTGCAATTTCCAAATTCAATTACGATGAGACTAGGGATTTGCAAGTATACAAGCGCAACAAAAATTGGGTCATTCGGACATCATACGAGAAAGTAATCACTGATCAAACTTTGGTCAAACAATCGATTTCACGACTTTACCAAATCATATCGAGCTTGTCGGAAAACGCTCAATACAAGCATTCTGACACCGTAAAAAATCACACTAATTGAATGTTGAATGGAGAAGTTACAAACCCGAGAAGTGGCTCGCATCAGGTATAGGCTCACTCGTCTCGAGTCATATAAATCTCTTCCGCTGCAACGATTAAACTCTAACTTTTGACAGTAACACTGTCCGTACTCTTCCTTAATTTTTCTTTTCCCTTTTTTGAACGTGTATGTCTGGGTGCTTAGCTAGTTTGTTCTTAAGATATATAAAATGGGACTTTTGAAGCAATGGTAGATATGCATGTTGAGTTTAGAATCAAACGAAATTTCGCAAATCTTGTATAACAAATTGCACATATAGTCAGAAAGAGATGAGGTCCGGTGCCATTAAATCAGGTGAAAGTCCAGTGACAATGGATCCACTGTTGACACTGCAGGAGCATGATTGCTCGAGCTCGAGCAATCTTGACAGCCAAGAAGTAGCCGCCGAGCGCAACAGCCTCATAAGCAGGGAAGACGGTGGGGGGAGAGAGAGAGAGAGAGAGAAGCGTTGCTGGGAATGAAGCCGTCGACGACGAGACAGGGTCTCTACTAAAGGCGGCAACAGTGAGGTGAGCATCGCTGTCGACAGTGACCAGGAGATTATGAGGCCGAGCTAGGGGCAGGACAGCATTTCCATCACAGATGGGTTTTTGGTATAAGCTAGTGGATGGGCAAAACTTGGACGAAAGATGTCAGCTTTCTAAACATGAGAACGAGCTATAACTAAAATGTCAGATGCAATACAAAGCCAAAAACACAAAATTGAGGAAGACAATTGCAAGTGAATGGTCTCTAGTGCAACAAGAGCGCACAAGGTGCGAAACGAATGCTATCACTGTTTTTGGGATATGTGAGATACATGCAGGATGTGCTAAGGGGATTGCTGGAAATCCAAATACATAGCAGGAATAAATTGGGTTGACAACACTTTCCAAGCAGCAAAGTTATGATGTTGGACAACAATAAATGAATTGCTGGAAATGCAAGTAAAGTGCATTAAAAAAATGGCAAAATCTTGGACTTGGATGTTCCTGGGTATCCTCCTCTCCTAAGACGTTCTGTCATGTTTTTTTTTTTTTTTGGTCTAAAGACGTTCTGTCATGTTAATCAGCTTCAAGTTTTTTTTTTTTCCGAAAAGAAACTGTATTTATTACTCAAAATAATGCATGAAAAATATGTAGATTTCAAAGCAAAACAATTCGGTCAATGCCAAGCTCGCACATGCCAAGCCTCCTGTTGGTCAAACTCGTGCCAATCACAACCCGGTTGGCATGGCCTCGAAGACATCTTATAATTATAAAGCCGGTATCTTACTTGATTTGATCTATTCCTCACAAAACTAGTGTCTCTCTCAAGACGATCCGTTTCCATTTTGGCGATTTTAAGTGCCAACAAGTGTCCCCAACGTTCATATGAGAAATGCAATAGACACAAGCAATTTGATGTTTCTTACCCTCTTGGAACATTTACTCCTAGAGGGTATAATGGGTCGACACTCAACACAATTTCGTCATATTTTGCATTTGATTCAATCTAACTAGGATCGATATTGGCTTTTTCGTATTGCATAGGGTTGGAATTTGTAACTGTCGTGTTTGAAAGATAACTGTCCTAAGGCTGCAAGTCTTTTTGGCAACGAGTCTCAAATAGTTGTGCGAGGAAGAAATTACCCCGGAAAAGGATCAAGGTTAAAGCAAATCAGGCCAGACTGAGGAAGGAAGATTGAAGGTAGGATTATAGATAACCAAGTTCCATTGCTTCTAGGAGATCAGAGACCCCAAAAAAAAGAAGAAAAAGAACAACTAAAGAACAAGAACAGATCAAACATCAGCTCTTCTTATGCTGCTTGAGAATACATGAGCAAGCACTATTCAAGTAAGTATAGATATCCTCTCCCTATGCACCGTGGTTGAACTAGTTAGGCTTTCTTCTTAGGATCATCTTGGCATGGACTTTGCCTCTCAGGCAGTGAGTGCACGTCTTGTGAAATTCACACTGTATAATGCTGCTGAATCGTGTCGATGTCCAAGCCCTTAAGCTTCACCACCGACTCCACATGGCCCTTGAGCGTCTGGAGCTCCCGCAACCTAAAATCGGATAAAGAAGAGAGCGAAACGAAAGGTTTTGAGCACTTTTTCGTCTATCGATTCCACATAGAAAACGTAACTATTGTGTTTTACTCATAGTGCTAATAGGCCTGTAGAGAACATGTGCATTGCATCATATGGAATGGTACATTGCATACCTTGCGACCTCAGCTCGTCTCTTGGCCTGCTCTGCGATCTCGGACAGCTCTCTGTAGCTGCTCCTGTCCAAGAAAATGGAGGAAGTCTCCGGCGGCTGGAGGCCGTGGAGAGTCCTCTGGGCGAGTGCCCATTGAGCTTCTCTCTCCTCCTTACCGTAATCCTTCTTGGTGGTGAAGGCCGTCTGTTTTCGCAAAGAGAAAAGTGAAGGGCCGGTGTGATCAATCAATTGACTCGAAATGAGCAAACGAGAATATGTATCACCTAATATTCCTGAGAAATAAAAAAGATTGTACCTTGTTCTCCAGCAAGTTAAGCCATGCCTTTCCACTCAAGATGTAGCGAATCGCAAACTTGATGAAATCCAATGGCACGTAAAAGACGACACTGTAGATCCATATAACCCCGGCCCATCCCCAACCGCATCCCTTGATTTCAGCAAAGCCCCAGTTGGCATATACAGCTATCAAAGTAGCAACCTGGAAAATATGTATACAAGTTTCAAATTATGTTATATGAACTGAAGCATTTGCACTGCTCTGAACCAGAGGCGTAAATATCAGGCATTTCTCAGAAAAAAGAACATGAGAAGAAGCGCTCGGAGTATCCATACCAGTTGTGCAATTATGAATGCGCTCATTAGCAGCGTTCCAGGGCGTTCAACATATGACCAGCTTCGAGACCGAGTAACAAAAATCAAAGCCTGGCTCACAATGCTCACTTGTAGATATAAAGCGGCCATCATTTCATTGGGACTGTCCCTTATTGGTCTCACACCGAATTTATTCTGCATTTGGGCAAAATAGAATGAGCATTTGATAAGTTACTCGAGTATAGTAGGAGCTCGAGTTGGGACAGTCTTAGTGACAAGGAATCGAGCTCTTACAGGGAAAAAGTCGGTTTCCTTCATTGCCCAGAAGAATATGACAGTCATCAGTCCCAAGTAACCTCCGAGAACAACGCCAGTTGCGAATATCTCTCTCAGCTTCCAACTATCAGGCACAGGAGATGGCTTCACACGGTCCTTTGAGATTGTCATGATTGTTCCTTGAGAAATTTGAAATTAAAGCACGAAATTAGAACTGGTGTTTATCATTCCATGAAGATAAGAGACCAGCATTAAAAGAAGGTATAAATGTTTATTTGGGTTCGAGTAGCTTCCAAATTTTTGCAAGAGAAACCGTATAGCAACTCACCATCGTTTAGGATTGCAATGATCAAAACCATGAATGGAGAGAAGTCAAACTTCCATATCAAAGCAATGAGCATGAAACCGAACTGCAATAGTCAGAACAATCAGGTAAGTCACAATCATCCATCGATACATAGAAATAAAATCATAAAAGCCTCAAAAGTGACATTTCTACTAACCACAATACGGATGGTAA